TGTCTTCTCCCTTTCTACTAAAACTGTTTAGTTCATGTGGTACAAATGTTTTTCAATGACTATTGAAATATCATCCTAAATGTTCTTGACATTCTATTTATCTCCTAAGTCTGTGTGCCAGTTCCTGGAATAATTTGTGTACACAGTCAAGCTAAGTTGTTCTCATTGGCTTAGAGACAAACTGAAATGGATTCCTTGATCTGTGTACTCATTTTTGCATCCACATTTCCAGTCATAATTTACAGGTACTATATTATTTTTTATCTTCAAACATAAGCTAACATTATTCTCTCTACTAATTACCCTCTACTCATCCTTTAAGATGTGGCTCAAATGTCATCTCGGCCATGAATCTTTTCCCAATTGGTTATTATGCCATCTCCCTACCCAATCGCTTGGTTGAGACAATTTTCTTTTTCCTTGGTTTCAATAGAATCTTTAAGGAACACGTATCTGCTTGCACTCTTGTCTTTACTACAAGACTGTAAACTTCACAAAAGCTAAGACTGTGATTTATTCATTGCCTATTAAAGTAGGCTCTGAGTAGACATTTATTGAGTTCAAAACACCAATTGCAGACAGTTAAACAGAAGAGAACAGAAGGTCCAAAATAGTATTCCATCTGAGATGTTAAACAGCCTTCAAATTTCTTAATAGTGAAAAATATAGCAAAGCACATTGCTACAATGTGTATGAGGCAATTACTTGCAAATCATCTGGTTTTGAAGGCATGAACACATTAAGAGTTGTCTTTAAGCATGCATATTTATAGTTAATACTGTGTGTTCCTATAACCTCAGTGACTACCTACTCCCACCTTTATCCCCACCCCAACCTACTATAATCTTAATACAATAACCAAAGTGATCTTTTAAAACACAAATGTTAATGGTGCCACAGCTCTGCTGAAAATACACAATGGTTTCCTTTTTAATTCAGAACACCAAAACCCTATGAAATGGCTATAGGTCCCTGCATGAGCTTTTCCTTGACCTGACCTCTCTGATGCATAGTCTATTAGTCCCCCTACTGCTCACTAACCTCCAGCCACACTGTTCTTCAGTCAGCTGTTCTTTGAATATATCACATATGCTCCTATCTCAAGGGTCTTAGCATCTGCTGTTCCCATTGTCCAGAAAGTTTTCATCTCATACTGTTACATGACCTATGCCCTTACTTTTTTCAGATTTTTTTTCCAAATGTCACTTTTATGGTGACCTTCTTAGGCCTTCTATGGCCACCCTTTTAAAATTCCAGCCTCTCCCTATAATTTAATCTCCCTTGCATTTTTTTCTTTATCATTATCTGATATATTTAATATCACTCTTTGTCATTATTGTTATTATTTTCTTTCCACGTTCTTCAGAATGTAAGTTCTATAAAGCAGGACATAGTAAGTGCTTAATAAATAAATTCAAACAAATGAATAAAATATTTCTTTTTGCGAAAAAACACCCAACAAAATGAGATGGGGTACTCTGTATTTTATATTGGCATAGGCTCAAATGATGGCTCACATTTTCTTTGATATAGAAGTCATCTTGTACCACCAATAGGCATATAGTAGAAGCTTGAAAAGGCAATTCGAGAATGGAAATACATTGATGTCTATATTGTGTATGTTGTGTAACGATGGTTCCTGGCATCAGTGCTTAGATTGGGGATGGTTCAAATTAAGGGCAGGTTCTCTGACATCTGAGAATGGGGAGTAGTGCCTTTGTCATCAAGGCTGCAGCAACATGCTCCACTAAACTCTGACAAAGAAAAATCTGTATAAGGATCAATCTGACATCAGGAACACTTTTTAGAAATTGAATCTCAGAACTTCTGCTCTAAGCAGTCTTCCATTTGTTTTATGTTCCAAAGCTTCTGAAGCTGTATTTAGAATTTTGATTTCAGAAGATTTTGTGTTTTAGCAGAAATTACATAGACACCTGGATTTGAACCTACTTTACTAGCTGCAAGTAACCAGGGGAGTTATTAAATATCCTGTGCCTCAGTTACCTCATCTATAAACCAATTCTTTATAATAAAATGGTATATTCCATAAAATGCACATAAAACAGTCCTTGGTACTGCGGCAATGAATGTGAAACAGCTCAGCTTTTGAGTTAGGAATACCTGAGTTCAAACGTCAGGTCTGTCCCTGACTTTGTGTATGAGCTATAACTCTCTGAGTTTTAGTTTCTGCACGTGTCAGATGAAGAAAATCATGTCTAACATGCAGTTGTGAGATCTAGGAATAACCTGCTACCTACTCAGTTCCTGTGTGCAATAGGTACATATAAATAGTAGCCTCAGTTGTCAATTCTGTTTATTAAGTGTCTTTTCTCTCAGGATATCATAATAACTGATGATATATATAGTATCTGATATATTTATTTACATTTATAATTCACAGTAGCTTATTATTACTTCAGTATAATTAATAAGGTCTTCAAGCCAAGGGAAAACGCTCCCTATGAAGTATCTAGAAAAGTTGGCTTTCAATAAATACTTATAGAATTAATAAAATACATAGAGATTACGTTCCATTTGCTTTGTTTAAGAAAGCAGGAGTCTATAAAATGCCTATTTGAGAGAATCATTATAATCCAGAGTTTAGAAAGCAGATAATTGAGTTTGTAAGTGCTTTCTAACAATTCAGGTATGTTTCTAAAGATTAATTCAGTTTCTAAAGATTAATTTGGGTAAAAACTTTATCCACATGAATATGTTGCTTCTGGATAACTCCAGAGGGCTGAGTTTGAATCTGAATAGACAGACATCACAGAATCAAAAATTTCGGTTAAATAAAAGGAAGATGTATATACTCTGTGGTCTGATAAATCAATGACTTCTCTTGGTTTGTAGCATCAGAGAGGAACCTTGATGAGCATCGTCAGGGGTACTCTATAAAGCATTTACTCAGGAGATAAGAATTAACTAGGTGAAAATAAATATCCCTTTAAATGGTCTAGATTTGATAAGTGATTTCCTATCAAAATAAAGATTTGATAAGCAATTATGTTTCACAAAAAAAGAGACATATAAATGACAGTAGTGCAAAAATTGTTATTAAATAAAGCACTCACATGCAAAGTTATTCTGCTTTGTGTATACATCACGTATGTTCAGCCTTTAATAAAGTCAGAATTTTGTGTTTTGTCCTGTTTTATATTGTGAATAAATCAATCCATATATAGCTAGGTCCAAAAAAGCCAAGTATTAATAATAGCTGATTATAACATAACTTTTAATGCAAAGAGTAAATTCAAAGTCCCAATATCAGCAAATATATTAGTTGGGGAAATTTGAATGTAGTTGAAAATAGGTACTAAAAATTATAGGAATGGAGAAGTAGATTATATCAACAATATGAGAAAGAACCTTATAATTGAACATTGATGGATGTAGCATGTCAAATGATTTGGTAAAGATTTCCAAATGAGGCAGATTATGGTGAGTTCCAAATTAGAAACAGAACATACTGAGTGAGGAAAACCACTGATAAAAGAATTACTTCACTGTCTTCTGAAGCCATTCGGCTTGGAGGAACTATGGAATATTACCAGGTCCTTTTCTGCCAAGGGAATTATGAGGAATTTAAAAAGTCATTTCACCTCAGATTTGTGAAGTGGAAAATACTTTAATACTAAATCAACAATTTAACTCAGTGCAATATGCTATAACATTTTTGGACATGTGTTTATTCTTATGACATCATGAAGAAAATTTTCCTTTCCTGATTGCATTTCTATATTATTTCTAATAGCCTTTGTTAAGTTGAGGTGACTTTCTTTCTAAAACCTACCCAAAGAACCAAGGATTTACAAATTTAATTATCTCCCAGAATGTACTGTATGATTTTGAACTAAAAACATGTTAGGTTTTAAATTTCACCATAGGCTAGGAAAAAAGGAATAAAAAGTTCAAAGTGCTCCGCATTTGGAATCAGTAATTTTGTGTTCCAATGAGAAATGTTTAATCTCCAGTGCCAAAATGAGGTGAAGCCTCCCATTGATTCACTCTCTATCCAAAATGTACCTATTACCTCTTCTCTGTGACCTAAGGCAGGTCTCTAGAACTCATTTTCATTATTCAACTTGCAACCTTTTCTTTACCGAGGATCGTTTTTTCTATATTCAATATTCTTTCTCCCTCTAAAATATTCATTTTTTTTCTACTTGCTATCTTTGTAATTCCACTTTTGTAAAACTGAGTTCAAAGCCCACATCACCAATGTGATCTGCCTTACCTGTCTGCTTTATGCCCTGGACCTTTTATGCCCTGGACTCTTTCTATAGACAGCCCTTGACTCACATTCTTTTATCCAGTAACTGCCTCCTATTCTACACATGTGCTTTAAAGCTGCCTATCCTTCCATCTCTACAAGCACCCAAGTCATTCCTCTCCCATCATGTAGAAGACAATTACAGAAATACAATCGCCACCACTACAACTGCTAAAAAGGATGAAAGAGTGGGGGTCTTTCCTTTGTTCCCCATGATCAAGAACACTTATGTCAATGTCTCATATATGATTGAAAAGCTTTCTTACACAACGAGCTTAATGTTGCAGCTGTGTTGTTATTTTAATTCTATTATTATTCATATGACTAAGACATATGAGTTAATGATAATTAAATTTTGCTATTTCTCTACAACATTGCCTTGGGTGTCATGATTTAAGACTATCATTTTGACAACATGACCATAAAATCATGAGTTATAAGTACTTCTTTTAAAAATTCTTATTTCCAAGATCCAAATTAATGATTTCTATATATGTGTAGAGTATATGTGTATTTATACAGTATATGTCTATAAAAACTCTATGTATATATATTTAAATTATTGTATGTATATAAATCACACATAATAAATAAAATTGACTTATTAAATAAGACATGCATAGTACAACAGCTAGCTTCATTTTTCCAGCATCCAAATAAATCATCTATTTACTGACCACACACTATATGCAAAACACTACATTGTGAATGTGCAGCTATGAATTACCTCCTCTTTTCTTGTCTCCCGTCCTTTCTGTACAAACCAGATAACTTTTGCTTGTAAAGATCGTGGAGTACATTCCAGCAAAGTACTGTTTTTCTCTATGCCATAAGCCAGATGCTCTTCAGTCTTATCCAAAGCAACCCCTACAACAGGAACATTAATGCCATCTTTGAGACTTAGATTTTACCGGTAAATAAATTTTTCAAACATTATTTAGATCCCTGCAGTAACATGATTAACTCATTACTTATTGCTCATTTCTGTAAACGGTAATTTAAAGGAATTATTTAGAAAGAATGGCACACCAAAGTTTAGGCACGAAACAAGCAAGCAGGCTATGGGGTGGGAAAGAGGTAGGTAACTGAGAGTCTGGTTCCAAAGGACGGGACAGGATAGTCAAGGCAGTAAGAAGCATCAGTGTTAAACGCATGGAAAGTCTCTTCCCTTTGTTGAGGGAAGAGAAAGGGAACACCAAAGCATAAGACAAAATTTGCAGTTACAAACAAAAGCAGAAACCAGAAATGCAGGCAAAATGCCACTACATAAACGTAAATGTGGATTATATCCTGACAAGGGATTGCATTTATCTGGGTGTTGGGCTGCTGCAGTGAGAAGAGAATATGAGACTGAATCAGGGACTTTGTGAAATAGAGCTTGATTACAATCTGTGTTTTGGACCGGAAAGGCTCTTACTGGACTTGAACTCAAATTTGCATACAGGCAAGTACACTTAGCTGCAGTAGGGCATAAAAGCAAGCAGGATTACTCTCTAAAAAAAAAAAAAAAGTCCTACTCAACTTCAGGACGGACCCCTAAACTTCCCTAAGATGAAGGTCCTACTTTTCTTTTGCCAGTATTCCCAGAGGCTTGAGTCCTCCACTGAATCCTGAGTCAGCCTGGGATCCAGCAAAGTGACGCTGGAGCACAGTCTCTGGCTCTGTGTATAGCCACCGCTGGTTTCTTATTTATGGTGTCCCTTCTTATTACTACTTCCTAGTGAGCTTAGTGACACTAAATACAGCCTATTCAACAGTTACCACCATAATAGAAAGAGTCAGGAGAGAGTTAACAGAGAAGTTCTGTCTTAACTTCCTTACTTTTGCCTGAAGATGAAATTTCCTCAATTCCTTACCCATCAGATACCACCACTCTATCACCTTTCTTGAACCACCAACCATAGCCCTAACCTTAGTTAACTTAGATAAAAGAGTAAAAGCTTTTTCACTTTATCTATCCCAAAGCGTAGTAGATGACTTGATAGAAGTAATACCAGTTGATAAAATCACCAGAAGCTACGTAACATGGTGAAGACAGTCCCCAGTATGGGATAAAGAGGTAAGTCATAAGATTCACCGTGGCATCAATCACCTAAAGTATGCAGCATTCTTGTTCTAGGGTTTCGTTGTTTTAATAATTAGTTTAATAATGAAGCTTGGTGGTAGTACATATAATTTATTTTCCTAATCAGATAAAAATTAGATGTCATTTTTTCCAAATTTTAACTACGTGTCAGAGAAAAAGAATACTTATTATATTGTTCTAGTATACATGAATCACAAAGAAAAAAGGACTGTATTTAAGAAGTTTGCAGTCTATATTCAATGTATTCTCTGAGTAACCCAGAACAATTGATTTTCTATGGATTACCAACAAACTGTTGTCCAAAGCACTGCTGAGCTGCATTTCCATGTCGAACATCTTGTCTCCGGAAACGCCTGAAAGAAAGTAAATGCATTTAGATGTTCATATTTTCAATTTTCCAGGCTTTAAAATGCAGCCAATGGCATTAAATACACAAGTAGTATTCTGCTACTGAAAAAAAATGACCATTCATATGAAATAAGAATAAAATCCAAGTTTCATAGTTTTTCACATTTCCATTATATGTTCTTCAGTAGTTAAGATCTATGTTACCCTGTTCTTTATTTACATAATGTTGAATTCTGGAAACTCAAACAACAATGGAATATATTTCTCTTTACTTTTTGTTAAAAATTTAGTTCAACAAGAAATCTTCCAGTTTGAGAATGTCTTGAGTGGTAAAGTATTTGGGCAGAGAAAGACAATGGGATTTGAAGTAAAGTGTTTATTGAGTACAAAACAGTTATTTTGAGTATAAAACTCCCATATGTAATAAAGTGCAAATGAAAAAGGTGTTAAAATCCAAATAGTTTGTTCTATAGTCATCATAATCAATTAGTACAAATAGAATTTCTAAAAATAAGAGATAAACTAATAATATACTGTAGTGAGCTTACTTTTATTCAGATGTAACACTGAGGAAGTACATGCCTTTATTCAATGTGATAGTGTGTTCTTCATGTTTAGCAGGATGTTGTGCATCTAGTGGGACTCAAGAAATATTAGTATTTTCTCCCTCAATCTGCCTAGTATAATTAGAGTCATTTCTAGTATTTTTTTATTTCATAGATTTTTAGATATATAACTGAAAAAAAATACAATATTCTGTATCTCTGGAGAAACTCCAGAATATATATACACACACACACACACACACACATATGTATAACATTATACATATAAAATTCCAGAATATATGTAATATACATATGTTTTGAATATATATAAAACATATGTATGTGCAATTCAAGAATATATATATGATATATACAATATAATGTTTTGAATATATATAAAAACATTAGCTGGGCATGGTGGCTCATGCCTGTAATCCCAGCACTTTGGGAGGCCAAGACGGGCGGATCACAAGGTCAGGAGTTCGAGGCCAGCCTGAGCAACATGGTGAAACCCCACCTCTACTAAAAATACAAAAATTAGCCGGGCGTGGTCGTGTGCATCTGTACTCCCAGCTATTCAGGAGACTGAGACAGGAGAATCGCCTGAAGCCGAGAGGTGAAGGTTGCAGTGAGCCAAGATTGTGCCACTGCACTCCAGCCTGGCAATGAAGCGAGACTCTATCTCAAAAAAAAAAAAAAAATATATATATATATAGATAGATAGATAGATAGATATAGATATAGATATATATTTAAGTATATAATATAACATTATATATAAAGTGATATAATATGTAAGCATTTTTTTGAGGAATTAAACAATGGGAATTATCATTAGTATTAATAGTATTGAAATTATAAAATCAAGAACTCTGGCATACTTAATTTAGCTTAGAGATTTAAATAGAAGTATTACATAAAGGTGGAAAATACCACTTGCCTCTCTAATTCATGGCATTTCTTCAAGATTGAGGGAAAAACAGAAGGCAAAGCAGAAGTTTTACCCTAGAGGGTGAGAGCATAGCTCCCAAAGTGACAATGAGATGCTTTAACCATATGCAATGATGAAATTTGGAAAAGTGAACCAGATTCAATTCCCAATACCACCACTAATGTTCTGTATGATCTTATGCATATTGCTTCCCTTTCCTGGCTCTTTGTGTCCTCCCGTGTAAAATAGAGGTGGCAAAATGACACCTAAAATCTACTTCAGTCTCTTTTTTTTTTTTTTCATTTTAGGGTGTCCTTACTGTCTCTAAATAACAATAATAGAATGCTATTTCAAGAGATCAAGTGCTTTCTCACACAGGAGTTCAGACCTTATTTAACAAATTAATAGATATTGAAAACTGGGGCAGATGAACATCTGCAATCAATTTTTGGGATTATGACCTGTATACAAAAGTACGTTTTAGTTTTAGTTTGTTTGCTTTTCTTAACGCAGAGATCGCTGATTAGAAAACCTTACCTAAAAACCTGAGATTTTACAAAGTTAATATTAGATCTGCCACATGTATCATTCTACTGAACTAGATTGAAAATAGAGCTTATGAAAAAACAACAAGCAAAAGTAGAAAGTTGCATGATTCTATGTTGTTTTACGCTAGCATGTACAACTATTATACAACTAATAGATTTAGATGATAATTAAAATGCTGTTGTTAATCCCTCACTTTGTGGAGTATTGCTTTTATATTGAGAACATGAAGCCTGATGAGCAATAATGAATAATGGATAGGAATAAAATCAATGAAATGAGAAATGGCTTACACTTTGCAGAGATGGTGTTGTATAAAGATTATTATACAAGTGATATGAGGATAAGGAAGCTACAATCAAATAATTCTAGATAAGCAAGGTCAAGAACTGAGTGCAAAAATATTGCTGAAAGTTATTGGAAACATACATTTAAAAAGAAAGATATCACATTTTCCAGCAAGGTTTCAGTTCATTTTATACTATCCCAGTATAGTTGTCCTTTATTTCAGTATAGATATGTACACACACACGTATATATATTACATATACATATATGAGTGTGTATATATATGTAATATATACATATATACACACAAATATATGTGTATATTATATATGTGTATATATATATATGGAAAAGTTTCAGAAAGGTTGAACAAAGTTGCTTTCATTCTCAACGTTGCATATTATTCTTATATCTCTAGTCTCTTAGAAATTTTTAAAGAGAACACTGGAAATAGACAAAATACAAGAGCAAGGGGAAGAAAAAGATTCTAGCATTATAAACCATAGTGTATTTTGGAAGATCATTTTAAACAAGTGGTCTGGATTGTGAATTAATGTTTTTCCCCTGTTGACTCATTTTCACTCTGTGAGCAGAGAAGTATTTATTTTAATGACCAGTTTTCAATTTCTGCTTCTATTCAGGTCTTAAGCAACAACGATCTGCTATAAAAGCAAGCTATTTTACCTTCATGTGTTGAAACTTATCCAAAAATTCTCCCCCAGGGGTGAGTGATGGTTCAAAAGAATTTGACACCACTGAAAGATCTCTATTACATGTCACTGAACTGAACTAATTCATTTACAAGCACGGCTTCTGATTCCAGCATTTCATGCCTTCCTATCTACTATTTTTCTCATTCACTTGACTTTTTCTAAGTAACCCTTTTTGTCTCCCACATCTCCTGTATTATCAAGCTTAGGACTGTACACTGTTAAAAGATGCACCATATAAAACAATTAACTATGGAAACGGCTCAATTAAAATTCATTATCACTACTGCATGCCTAACACAAAACCCTGTCATTCATAAGCATTTGGTGCAAGGCTTGTAAACATTTTTATTGTTGCTGATGACAATAAAATAATACTGTTATTTGTGGTTAAATTCATGTTCTACCCTCATATTCTTCTATTTCACTCCCGACCCATGGTACTGTGTGTTTGTTTTTAAGCATTCTATTTCTTTGTATAGAAAATTAATTCCCTTTAACTGGAATCTTCTTATATCTCTACCTTCAAGATTAAGCTCAAAAGTGAGATTATTTTGAGAATTAAATAAAGTATTATACGCATTGCTCTTAATCGAGTACCTCATCCATAGTAAGTGCAGAATAGCAAGCTACTACTATTATTATTTACAATTCCATTCTTCATTTAGGTTCCAATTTCCTTTAGGCAAGAGGTGATGCTTGTTTCTTCATATCCCTTGCACATAGTACAGTAATTGGCTTAATAGGCGAATACACTTCACTCATAATTCATATTTTCAAATAATTACATGACTATATTCTTCAAGAATTGTTTTCAAACAACAACGAACACTTCTGCAAAATCAATTAATTTGCTAAATTCTTTAATACAATTGGTAAATATAGTTAAAAATGTCCTCTTGAAGCATAATTTTACTATCTGCTTATTATATCATTTAAAAAATTCTCATTGGAGTATTAATTTAGCTCAAGTAAAATTAACAAAATTTTGAATTAGTGAAGTTTTAACGAGATTCTACTATATATTTGAACATATAAAACAAGAACTACACTAAATTGGGTTAAATTATATTCTGAAAAAGGTTTACAGAAAAGTAACTCAAAGTTAAATAATAAAAATAATTGAAATTAATACAAACTGTTTTTCAGTAGGAAAACTACCTATACTTCTATTGCTTGCTTTATTTTGTCTTTGGTCATTTTATCGCAAGAAAGAAACTGCTTATTCTGTGAGAAATAATAATACTTTTTTCCTGAGGTATTTCCACAAACAATGCACAACTCTATATGGCTTGACTGAAGAGATATCCTTATTCTTCAAAAGACTTAACTGAACCTCAAGATCTCTGCTTAAAGAATCCTGGGATTTACCTTCTGTAGGAAATGGCAATGACCTCACAGAATTGTAGGCCTTGGAATTTGGAGGTCTTTAAGTACCTTTCATTTGTGTTGAATTAAATCACACATTTCATTAATTATACAGGTCATGCATTTGCCTAGGAGTTAAAATATTCACTTTCAAAATGAAATAAATGAAGACCAGCTGGTAGAGAGGACATGGGGCAAATGCAGGATGTATTTTAGAAATTTCTTTATTTATTTTCCTTTTAAGTCTTTGAATCTCTCATGTGCGGTGGCTTGCCATTTCCACATTTTAAGTTTATCTGAACTCGTTTCATGTGTTGCAGCAGAAGTTTCAAAAGAGGGAAGAACTGACTCAAACCTGGGTGAAAAAATGGAAGGTCAACAGCATGTTCAGCTCCAGTCTCTGTACACAATAATTAATACAGATATTTTCTGGAAAACTTCAAGTTTTCAAAGTTTCTATTATGAACAAAATATAACTATGATGATTTATTGAAATAAAAAGAGCTTGGTTATTTTTCATGGAATGTGTGGGGGAAAAAAAAGAGCAGAAAAAAAAAAAAGCATTAGGGTTTTCCTAAGCAAGGGAAATAGTTCATCAGGTATCATATCTCACCTTTTCGCATGTGTGCCAGTTGGGTAGTACCGGGAACAGGATATGCCATCCCAGGCACAGTAAGGGTCTCGAGCCAGGCAGCAGTCAGCACAAGCACTTCCATACATGTCACAGTGATGGAATCTGACTTGAGCCACGGCAGAAGCAGATCCAATATATAGCTGTTGCTACAGAAATCAGAAAGAGGTCACTAGCAGAAATGGACAACACTTTCACTGAACTATTACACCTAGTTTTCACATTTATACACAATCACCTCAGAAAAAATTCACTTAAATTTAATTCACTTAAATCAGCAGTTTCAGGAGTTTGAGACCAGCCTGCTCAACATGGCAAAACCCTGTCTCTACTAAAAACACAAAAAATTAGCCAGGCATGGTGGCAGGTGCCTGTAATCTCAGCTACTCTGGAGGTTGAGGCAGGAGAATTGCTTGAACCTAGGATGTGGAGGTGGAACCTGGAAGACAAGAGAGAAACTCCGTCTCCAAAAAAAAAAAAAAAAAAAAAAAAAATTATAGCAGTTGTTCAATATAGATAATAAGATAATAGAATATTTATACTTTCATTCTCTAATATTTGAGAAATATTCATAGACATAAATTCAGGACCACCAAAATTGCTAGACTGAACTTGTCAAGAACTCAGGAAGCTGTGTTCATTATCTTGCATTATCCAACACTGTGGATCTTCCTTTAAAGATCTATAGAAACTGCCCGGCTCAGTGGCTTATGTCTGTAATCCCAACACTTTGGGAGGCTAATTGCTTGAGCCCAGGAGTTTGAGACTAGCCTGGGCAACATGGCAAAACCCTGTCTCTACAAAAATTACAAAAATTAGCTGGTAGTACGTGCCCATGGTCTCAGCTACTCAGGAGGCTGGCATGGAAGGATGACCTGAGCCTGGGGAGGTCGAGTCTACAGTGAGCTATAATTGCACCACTGAACTCCAGCCTAGTGACACAGTGAGACCTTATCTCAAAAACAGAAAACAAATCTACAGAAAGAATTAATAAGAGATTTGGAAAGCAAATAGTCTTTTAAATATTGACATATAACATTTAGAAGAGTGACGTGTATATCTCTCTATTTACAGAACAAGTAGCTGAACATTTAGTATCATATCTTTCCTTTTGCCTGAACATGGAGGATTATTTATAAATAAATTTGAGAAAATATATGCAACAACTGTTTCTAAAGAAGTTGACACCAAACTGATTTCAATGAAGTGGAAAGGAGGTGTGTTTCCTTGCACACTCTTGGATTATCATTGTTACCATTGTTAAAGTAAAACATTAGTGAAAAATAACCAGGGAATAAAGTGCTATCATGATTGTAGAAGTAAAACTACTCTCATCTTCGTTTCTATAGAGATGGAAAATGAAGGCATGTTTTAAATGTAAATCATGATATACTTTTGTCAGAATCAATCAATGGACATAAAGTTTCAATCGAACAAGATTAATAAGGTTTGAAGGTCTACAGTATAACACTGTACCTAGAGCCATTAAACATGTATTGTATACTTAATATTTTGTTAACAGGGTAGATCACATGTTAAAAGTTCTTACTACAATAAAATAAAGTAATAAAAGAAAAATAAAACTGTAATAAGTCCACATTTAAGCACATGAACTAATGTTCTCATATCCTTTGACCTTAGCTTACATATAGAACACACACACCTACACACACACATACACACACAGACAACTTACTCGCTTTGAAGAAATCTCCATAGAAATAATAGGAACTGGATCCTGAAATTTTTAAAAAGGTTTCATTTTTAAGAAAATAATATAAAAACATTTACCTTAATATGGTTGTAAATTCCTGAAATTACATTATTTATATAAGTGGTTCTGTGTTAAGTACTGTATAGCTTTCATTTTAGTAAATCAATAAGCAAATACAATTAAAATACAGCTTTAAAACTGTTTTCTAACGGGGTGGGCAGATATGCAGATGAGAAGAGCAGCAGGCAATCTAACCAGCTAACTGTTTGTCTCTGGAATACGGTTTTTGAATTTGCATTTGGATATTGCTTGTGCTTTGGAAACTCAAGTATCTTTAAATAAAATAATAAAATCAGAATGTTCTATTAAAGTAATTGAATCATTAAAATGAAACCACTCTGTCTTTCATTAGGTGTTATTGCTAATAAACCAGGTGATCTTAAACATTTCAACCCAAACCTAAACAAAATATTTTTCTGTTGGAGTGATCATGGTGAATCACAATTAACCCAGGATTCTTTGAACAGGATGAATAACCTGATTTTCTTAGAACTGCACCAGAGGAAGGACAATTTATACCATAGCTTTGAGAACCAATATGTTATCTTAGGATTGTTAAGTAAGGGTAGTGCATCCCCAAGGAACACAATAAACTCAGATCAGCTGTGCAAGTGGCAAACCGCAGGGCAGGTGAAATCCACTCTGGGGATGATTACCCTTTGAAGAGCTGGTTGTTAAAAGGGAACATTTGATCCTCTCTGTCAGTGTTTTCTTAATTTTTTAAATTTTAAACTACAGAATCTTTATGCTTTCATACATTCATTCATGTATTCATTCAGGCAACAATGTTTCTTAAGAGTTTACATGAACAAAACAGTGTGGTGAGTGAATATTAAACATATTTCATTTTATAACATGAAATGAAATCTTATGTAGAGTCCCAGAGTGCTAAATAAACAAAAGCATAGCTACTCTGGTTGATATAGGATGGTAGTTAGCTTTGGATGTGGCTCTAGGGCATCCGTGTTCTAGTACAGCAAAGGCAAAATGTACTGCTTTTCATTTATAAAATCTTTCACATCTACCCATTATAAAAATATATAGCCAATCCTTGTTATTCACAGATTCTGTATTTGCAAAATTAGCCTACTTACTAAAATTAATTGTAACCCCAATATCAAGACATCCTGTGTTTCTCACTCATGGACACATGCATGCTCAGAGCAGCAAAAAATTTGAGTCACAGGACATGCACATTCCCAACTGAGATGAAACAAGCTGTCACTCTTGCCTTCTTGTTTCAACTTTCATGGTGTAAATAAGTATCTTTTTCATGGAGTATGTAGTGCCAAGGTTTTCACATCTCTGTGCTTTTTGTTGGTGTTTTGTTTTTTAAAATGGTCCCCAAACATAGTGCTGAAGTGCTGTTTAATATTTCTAAACTCAAAAAAGCTGTGCTGTGCCTTAACGTTGAAAACTCTTTCCCTAGATAAGCTTCATTCAGGCATGGATTATAGTGCTGTTGGCTGTGAGTTCAATTTTAGTCCATCAGCAATATATATTAAATAAGGTGTCTTTAAACACAAACACACATAAAAGAAGGTTATGTATTGATCTGTTGATAATTATGTTACAATTAGAAATTTGCTGGAACATAACCCCTTATTTCCCATGGGAGCAGTGGTCAGTATTCACTAGTTCAGTGTTATAACAACTTTAAAGACCAAAACTGCTGCAAATGATGCGACTTGATATGTGTGTGTGTGTGTGTGTGTATAAGTGCATATTTGTTTATATATATATGCACACATATATATGTGTATACATGCATACACATATATATATACACACACATGCATCTATGTATGTTAGTGTATCTGAATATGTAATTGTTTTTTCATGTCTTTTTAAATCATTTTCTATTGTTTTTCTTTTTTAGTAAATTCCTTGTATAATTAATGCACTTAATAAAAAGCAGTATGCTTATCTTGCCTCAGTGTTCACAATATGAAAATGTATTATTATTTTTTGTCAGTATTGATTGTACATTTCTATAAGATGTGACTGTAATACTGGCTCTGAAAATTATATGTAGTATAAATGTTATTTCATTATAGTCACAGTTTATTCACTGAAATTCTTTCCATGCTAGGTAAATATTGATCTCTCAGTTGAAAAGTCTGTAACAATCAAATACATGCACTAGAATTCGAAATAATTCTTCACTTATATTAGCTGTGAATCCACAACACACCTGTTAGGAAAAAGAAAATGGACATAGTATCTTTCCTATTTATATCTCACTTGTAGTCGTAATGCATAAATTTGGTCTGTATTTTTTACTCTAAATACCTTGAATATCTGAAGTTCTTCTAGAATTACTTCTTCCATTGATTCCATTTCTTGGTTGTAAATTGTGATTACTTTCAGCACAATTCCATTATCTGTAAGAAAACAAAACAAGAAATAAACTAGAATCTATGTCACAGTCTGGTTTTCAAATAATTAAAAACCATGTAGCTGGCTAGGTGTGGTGGCTCATGCCTGTAATCACTGTGGGAGGCTGACACGGGTGTATCTCTTGAGGTCAGGAGTTCGAGACTAGCCTGGCCAACATGGCAAAACCCTGTCTCTACTAAAAATACAAAAAGAAAAAATTAGTCAGGCATGGTGGCGGGCGCCTATAATCCCAGCTACTCAGGAGGCTGAGGCAGGAGAATTGCTTGAACCTGGGAAGCGGAGGTTGCAGTGAGCAAGATCATGCCACTGCACTACAGCCTGGGAGACAGAGAAGACTTCATCTAAAAAAAAAAAAAAAGTAGCGACTATAAATTCAGATAAGATTTGACATCCAGATGCATGAAACATTTTTATCACTGTCAGTTTAAAACAATATGACTACTTATAAACTCATATTTTTAATTAGCAAAATTAATTTTATGTGCCTGACCAAAAAATAAGAGGAAATAATGATTTTTCCAAATAGTTTGATCCAAAAATCCAATCATAGATTCAAAAATCAAAATGTCTTTTGGAATTAATAAAACATAAGAGAGATGCCAAATTATTCTAGCTACTTTTTCTGTGACGCATGATGAAGAAATTTTTTTTACTGAAAGCTACATTCATGGTACAAAACTATACCTTAGGGAATATTCCAAGCGACACACTGTGAAACTCACCATGTATATAAAACATACACATACATGCAATCACACACAGTTTTGGCAAGAAAAAAATCCAAGTATCCACCAATGAGAGAAGTGTTTGCACCAATCATTTAGTCTCCATAATTATCATTTGTTTTTAAAGTTTATATTCATATTTTAAAATTCCATCTCATTTTTATCATTCCTGATATTCTGAACTTGTTCCTTCCTATAAACATTTTAACAAAACATTAATTTGCCGATACAAATAATTTAGTATAATGCTAGACATAATTTAGAAAAAAATAAAATATCACTTTTTGCATATTTATCATACTATTTCAGAAGTTTGTTGAAATATTATCAAGTTTTATGGATGAGTTCATAAAACTGGATTATAATTAAGCATATAACAGTTACCTGTATTGTACACGACCCAAAGGAAACAAAAAATTGTCATCATTTTGAAAACTAAGCACACATATTAAATACTTGACAATTATGTTAGGCAAAAAGCAAAGATGAGGCTCAAATGATTAATTCACAATTAGTGATTTTCTAATAAGAACCATATATGTATTGTATCAAAGCCGGTGTCTAGTAAATATTGGACAAAGTAACCATTATTTGTGGGATTTTTTGATGTTGTCCCCATTTTACATTCATCAGACATGTTCTTTTTTCTGAAAATCTGTGGTTCAATATGATGATACTTTTGAATTAAACATGGTGTATATGGCAGAACAAATATATGTTTGATATTTCTGAAATTCTCTGGAATTACTTTGATCAATATGACAAGCAAATATTTCTAAAAACAGTCTTGGACTGTTATATATGACTTCTGCTTTCCAGGGCATTTAAAAATAACATATTAGGTTGGTGCAAAAGTTATTGCGGTTTTTGCCATTAAAGTAACACCAAAAGACCGCAGTTACTTTTACACCAAACTAATACTTTAATTACTTTTATCAAATATTAGTATTGATCATGCAACTGTAAAAAATTTTGTTGGAAGTCACTATGAGTGAGTTTATGGCCAATTAATTTCAAGTTTGCTAAAGAAATCTGATGACATGTTAATCTTGAACCCACAGTGCAGAGCACATTATTAACATTAACTTCATGAAATGAATGAACAAAATACAGCCCGTACCAGGAATCAATTTCTAAGAATAAGATAGAAGATGTTTTCTTGCTTAAATCTTTGTTTTAAAAAACAAAAGGATGGTCAGGCATGGTGGCTCATGCCTGTCATCGCAGCACTTTGGGAGGCCAAGGCAGGTGGATCACCTGAGGTCAGGAGTTCGAGACCAGCCTCACGAAAGTGGAGAAGTGCCTGTCTCTATTAAAAGTACAAAATTAGGCGGGCATGGTGGCACATGCCTGTAATCCCAGCTACTCGGGAGGCTGAGGCAGGAAAATCTCTTGAGCCTGGGAGGCAGAGGCTGCAGTGAGATGAGATCGTGCCATTGTACTCCAGCCTGGGCAACAGAGCAGGACTCTGACTCAAGAAAAAACAAACAAACAAACAACAACAACAACAAAAAACCAGCAACAAAAGCCACAAAAAACAAAACAAAAATGAAAACAAAAGGATTTTTGGAGAAGCCCAAGCACCAACATTAATATTAATATTACATCCTGTTTCCTGATCCAGGCTTATGCCAATATCTCTTCAGAATTCTGTATCTATGATTAAAGTCATGTGTGTTAGAATGCTAACTTCTCTAAAGATGATCAACTACTGTAGCAATTACTATGCTGAATAAAAAGAAAGACAATGAAAGAAAGAAAGAATCATTTTAAACACTTTAAAAATGACTATAGGATTTTAAAACACTTGAAAGAATTTGCTACATACTACTCTGGAGGCTGAAAAATTTCAAGTTCTCTTCTACACGTTAGATCTAATGTATGGGTTGATTAAAATTACAAATTTATTTGAAACTATCACTTTTAGTATATTTATCATACTTTGTTTTATTAATGCAGGATATTATGAGTAACATTTGGCTTGCTTGGTACAAATGGTTGATCTTGACATGGACTCATAAGAATTGCTGTGTTTAGAGATTTAGGTGAAGTTATTGTCCCAAGTTCCAAGTTGTTCACAAAATCTCCAGGACTCACTGATCAAAGTCAGTAATGGAGCCAGGAACCTGACAGAACTATTCTTGCTATGACACTCTGCTTCCACTATGAGGACTTCTATTTGGAACCAACTTTGTTCATTAACATCTATTATTCATTTCATTACTTATTCATTTATTCATATGCATGAAGTATTGATTATGTATAAGGAATTATGTGCTATGCAAGCCCCAAATCCTCTCTTTGGCAGCTTCAATATTTCTCACATCTGAAAAAAACCACATTTTTGTTGGTCAAACCATGACCCTTCTGACAATGAAAGTGGTAATATTCTCAGACAATTGGCCTAACCTCTTACTATTGCAGTCACATGAGGTCTCTATTTCAATCTGTCTCATTTTGGATTAGAAGTGTGAAATGGGTTGATGGATGGACAGATTTGTTGATAGGTGCTTTAGGAATACTATTAAAATTATTGAATTTAAAGGTCAATTTAAACGTCTCTGAGTACTTTCTCATCTCTTTACCTGTCCCAATAAATAAGACATCATATTGGCCATCCTCAGCTTCCACTCGATCCACTGCTATTTGTTTCAGGTTATATTTTCCATCTATTTTTACCAATATTGGTTTTTTATGGGCAGGTTTTATGGCCTGGTACATTAGTGGATGACTTCTTGCAAATCGGATGGCATCATCGGGATAGTCCTTGGTGGTTCCGTATCTCCCTCCATTTACTTTGCTGGCACACTGAAAAACAAGTGGATTAGATAATTCTTTTTGCCTTACACCTGAAGAGAAAATTTATAATCAACCACGAGAAGAATCAGAAAAATTGAAGATGTCAAATTAGTCAATTGTGCATTTAGAAATATATAGTAATCATATATTTTTCTCTTTTGTTAACTTTTATTTTAGGTCCAGAGGCACATGTCCAGGTTTGTTACATAGGTAAACTCATGTCACGGGGGTTTGTTGTACAGATTATTTAGTCACCCAGGCACAAAGCCTAGTTCCCAACAGTTCTTTTTTTCTGATCCTCTCCTTCCTCCCACCCTCTGACTTCAAGCAGGCTCCAGTGTCTGTTATTCCCCTCTTTATGTCCATGTGAGTAACTATACATTTTTCATTACAGAAATGGAATCTTCCTCGGAAATTGGAAAGACTAAATTTTTGCAAACATGCAGCATTAGAAATACAGAGAAACTAGAGAAATTCTGAAAAAGTGAGATATAGTTAATATCAAGACTTTGGGGATGGTCAAAATGTTTAACATCATAAATTATTTTCTCTGTTTTTGAAATTTTCTTTTTGTAATAAGTTACATATTGAAGGGAAACAATCTATTGTTCATACAAAGAGAAGAAATCTCTTTGCTGTGCAGAAACTTCTCTCTAACTAAGGATCACAACTGTACAAAATAGTTTTACCACTATTGAGTCTATGATAATATGATGAGTGATGGTTCTGATTGGCTTACTGACTATAGAATTTTAGTGGTTCAACATAAAAACCTATTCAGATGTTTTCAGTGTTAATTATCAATGGCAAAAAAACTATGTTTACTATAATCTATATGAATTTGTATTTTTAATGGATTTGACAAAATAAACTGGAAAACAAGAAATATGTACTATAACGTCAGTTTTTAAACCACTGACTATAAAATTAAATACTCAACAGTAGCTTAAGTTACTCATTGGAAAACCTTTAAATGTGTTGATTCTTGCTTGTTGGTAACTGCTCCCTCATTTTACATATTTTCCTCCAGAACTAGCAGCAATTGCAATGATTACCTTGATAAAAATTTTCCACTTTAGAATATAAATACAGTAGTTTAGTAATCAGATTCCACAAAGAGGACATTTATAATGGTGTGGTTTTTAAAATCAAACCATATTTCCTAATTTGGCATGGATTTTTCACTGGAGTGTACTTTCATGATATATAATTGGAAACATTTTGGACTAGCTTGGAAGCAGATCCATAACCAGTCACTTCCTCCAAATCTCCTTTAAGACCATGTGGTTTCAAGAAGCATTTCCAGCAAAGCCACAGGAGTAGGTTTTCTCCATTTAAAATTGTAATTTCAATCAATAGAGTGAAATAAAATATACTTTATGTCTTACTGGAAGTAATAATTTTAAGCTAGTGAGAGAGAGTGATTGAAATGGTAAAGCCTTAACACTTGTTAATGGAGGTAAGGTTTGTTTCCACTTTGGGTTTTTGCTCTACAAAAACGGTTTCTACTCGACTTGCAAGTAATTGTGGAATCAGCATAGTGATGGGATTTCACCAGCTGCTTGTAAAAGTATAGATGTTGACTTGTGTGACAAGTTAAATGTTTGCTCTCCATGGCTCACATAGCACATACAATGATCCAAAGTTTTTCCAACCTATTTGCACACAGGATGAATGATACAAAATCATCATCTCATCGTCACCCTCATTATCATCATCAGTTTTAGCCATGTGTGCTAAAAGCACAAAAGTCTGCATGCCTAGCTAAGAAGAATCTTAATAGTATAGTTCAGAGACAAGCGGTAGAACTTTTGTACTCTAGCAATACTTTTGTATTGGCATTTCTTTCCTAAGGGGCCAGCAAGGATGTTAAATGAGGTGTTAAGTATTCTGAAGACGTAGAGAAAAAAACTTCTTATAGATTTCCCACAATGAGAAGTAAGGAGACAGTTTGGCCTATGGAAATTAGAGGCTGATTTAAATATTAGAACATAAAAATTTGGTGACATTGTCCTGCTTGGAAATTATATGTGGTACTAATTCCTCTCAAGAGGCTGAGAGAAATATGATGTTCATGTTACTGAATGTTTCTGTGTTCACCAGTACTTTAAAAAATAAAATTTTAATTGGTGTTACTTAGCCAAAATATCAATAATAATATATATGTTATAAAACTGCTGTGTCCATTATATATTATATTCTTTTTATTAAATAACAAGCAAAAACTTGAGATTGGAAAGGATATTTCTTTGCTACATATACTTTTCACCGGCATACTTTTAGGTATAGTATTCCTTACCTGTTTATCTGCAAAGTCTGTAAAGCACATGAAACAGTGAACAAAATATTACCAAAAGAGTCCTTAAAAATAAGAATTACTGGTTACATTACTAAACTTACAGAACCAGGCCTTGGATAAGGGACTTTTCCTTCATAGACTGACCAGTGGTATTCAGGTCCTTCCTTATGTGCATATGGTCCGTTGAAGGCTGCCCGAATGCTAGACATATGATAGACACATATAGCATGCCCTCGAAAAATATTACTGAAAAATACGGAAAAGATAATTATTATTCTGGAACCTGCTAAGGTCACCTAGCCAAGCACCCCAGCCTACAAAGATAAGAGTCAAGTCTTTTGAGTAAAGTAGTTGCAATTTCTTTAAGCAAAGAATATTCTAGATATGTTAACTAATGCAATATTTCCAATTTTGAAACTCTGAAACTTACCATTTTATTAATTGCCTACTTAATACAGTTGAAGGTGACATTGTTAGAATGACAAAAATAATGTCACTTCACTTATTTTTAAACCTTGTATTGTGTTTTTATTTTTTTTATTAAGAGAGATCAGGCCTTCATATTAATAAAGACTTATTCCCAAGTTGAATTATTCATTTAGGTATTATCTCCTTTTATGTTGTTCTATTTTCAAAGTAGACAGTGTTCTCTTACTCACTATGCTGTTAATATTGCTACAAATTCTATTAAGATGTATTAAGTTTCTTAATATATATGACTTAAAGAACAATTTAAAGTCTCATGATAATTTAGGCCTTTTTTCCATTTTTTAGCTGGGGTTCATGTAGATATCAATATGCTTGTATATTCCTTCCTTCAGCCACTGAAAAGTGTCTATAGTAAAAAGATGACTGGATTGAATATGTTAAGCATGACAAAATTACTTTAACCATATAAAACTTAGATCCCTCATCTCCAAAACTAGCAGCAAGCAAAATAATTTTCTTGACTAAAATTTCTACTTGACTGTATAAAGGAAGTAGTTGACTAACTATGGCAACTTTTACTGAAAACATTTGTAATCAGATTCTACAAAAGAACATCTTTAAAAATTATTTTTAAAACAATCTTGCCATATTCCTTAATTTAGCATGAAATGAATGAATTTTAACATTATCAGAATCTCTGTATTGTAAGAATCCAAATTGTTAATGTTTGTGAAAGTATTTTGCAAAATTCAAAGTTCTATATAAATAGAGTTTCCTACATACCGAGACACCTGTAAAACAGCAGTTATGTTACTGTCCTACACCCCCAATTTACACATTTTATAACACATCTTGAAGCAATTGGAAATGCCTAGGATGCAGGGAACACTTGAGATAGTCTCCTAACTAAAGTGGTAGCACACCTTTGATCACCATTCTACAAATATCAATCCTTATGTCAGGTAACAGCTGGGAAGCTTTTGTTCTCAGATTTATATAAATTGAACAGTTAAAAGAGAAATTATAGAAGAAAATCATGTCTTATGTTTGATTTCTCAGAAAGATCCATTATGCTATCATTTAGGAAAACAGCTTATAATCTGATCATATTAACCCATAGAAAAACTAAACTGATTATTCCATAGCTTAAATTTATCATATAAATTCACTGAATTATCATGCAATGTATGAATTATTCACAGCATAAGGGAGGAGATGAAGTTAAAATGATAAGTACTCTCCATGCACTGTGATAACTACCAATCTACATTAACTATTTTTCTTTGCATCAAGAAATAATTGATAGACAAATTGTTTCCATGTTTCTCTGTTGAAGAAAAAGTCTCTTTGCAACAGCAGGATTCTTGTCTACAGAGATGTATTATTTTTTCTAAGTGACATTAGAAACCACCTGCTGAAAAATAACAAACTAAAGCTGTGTGGAAAGACCCCCACATAAGCACAGTATACACAATTATGTGACAGTTTATGGCTTATATGGTGTAAAAGAGGAATTCAGTAATATTATTCTAGCCCTGTCAAGAGAATTGAGGTATATTCTTCTTTATTTTTTATCCTAATCATTTTACCTGCACTATGCTTTACCTAGAAAGAGACTCAGGAAATTGTGTATATAACCTTTTTAACAAAAACTGATTCTAATATTTTTATTTGTGTGTAAAAATACATAAAATAATATTTTATCCATTTTTTTACAGCACTTTACCATGGGTAAAAAAAAAAAAATACAAAAACATAAAGGGGAAAACAACAGATTATACATCTTAAACTTGAGCAGCAAATTTAAAAGACAGAGAGCCAATGATCAACATGTGTTCACTACGAATCAACATGAGAGCAGGAAAATCAGAATAAAAGAGCAAGAAGAGTGCTCTGTGATTAAGAAATTGAGGAATTTTTCTTGGCTATGGCAATTGGTAAGTATTGGAGAACTGATTTAAATCAGTGTTGGAGGAGAAAGTTATTTCAAGCAAGATAAGTGAATAAATAAAAATATAGTAATGGGAACTAGCAAAGTAGACACTGCCTCACATCTGTCAAGGCATTATCTTGTCAACATCAGACCATTAGTGAACTCAGAGGGAAAACATACAATGGTGAGTGAGTAACAGTTGATATAGAACCTTAAAAGCCTGACTTGGAAAATTCTGTATGATGAATAAAGGAATTGTCCTAGACTTTACAACATATAATAACACATTGTAAGGACTGATATCTTACAAACTGTATGTGAAAAAAAAAAATCACTGTGTTCTAGATTAGAGAGTGAAGAGATTAGGATACTGAGCACAGGAAGATTCTGAGCACTATAAACAGAAACAAGATTTGGATTGAGATTGAGCTTTTGAAAACGAAAGTACATTTGCAAACATTAGAGAATAAAGATCAATTGGTGATTATAAAGTGTAGGAAATGAGAACAGCAACTGGGTCAGTAGTCTTACAAGTTACATACACCGTGAAAGGAGAGTCCAGTGAGGCATCTCTTGTTTTATATTGTTTTTATTGACTGTATAAATTTCTCACCTGGTAGTGTTAAAGAGTCCAAATATCACTGGATTCTTATGATCTCTGGTAGGTAGCAAAAAAACGTCCTCTGAAAAATTAAAGAATATTCCATCGCTTAGTATTTTTAGCTCTCTTTGCATGCAAAGAAAATGTATTCACATAAATTTGTTTAGAACCCAATATAGATTTTAAGATGTATATTTTCATATACAATTATATAACCAAGATCAATCATAACAGAGCTAATCATTCAGTTGTTCTGGGTGACCTTGAGCTGAACAACAGGAAGGAGCCAGACATGGACTAAGCTAACAAGATGCGCCTCTTTGTGTTCTTGCAATCCCTTTTCCCCCAGCATTTGTGCCTGCCCAAATTGAAAAGAACAGAAACTTGCTCTGTGTTAGATAGAGGTCAAATACACAGAAAAAAAGTTTTCTATGTGTCCTAGGGATAAAGTTATAAAGAAGCATATACATAAAAGAGCAAATTTAATTCACCTAAAAACATTTACCTAATTCATCAAAATGTGTGTCAATCCCATTCATTCCTGGTACTGAGCAAACGAGTCTCGCTTTGAGGAAAGTGCTCCACTTATTCACCAGTATTCTCTGCCCTCCTACATCATTCTGTGAAAACCAAAAAGGAGGTAAATAGTTACCTGAAGAATTCTGACCAACCACAGATTTTATATTATTAAACATGCAGTTGCCAAGAGTTATGACTTTTTTATTTAACTAGGAAAATTTGGCATAATTCTCAAGTAATGTCATAGGTGCAATTCCCCATAATTTAGGGTTTTTTTTTTTTTTTTTGGTTTCTTAATTTGGCCTTGTCAGCGCACTTTTGCCCTGATACAGTAAATATATTTTGCAGATGTTAAACAATATTAATACAGCAATCTCTCCTAAACAGAATAGTGGGGAGATACAGTAATCATGATTATTACTTAGTTCATAAATAATTTGCTTCTCTCAGGAATATAGAAACATCTATTTCTTTTCTTCCTTTAACAAAGGAAAAAGGCTTTTCAAGAAAGCTTGAAATACACACACACACACAATGCCCATACTATATATGTATATAAATATATACACACACCACACACACAATATACATATACACACATATTTATATGTAAGTTTATTTTCGAACATCTTCTTAAATGCCAAGGTAACTTTACATTTGTAAGTTTATTAGATTCTTAGATTATGTTGCTACTCCTCTTGGTTTTAAATGTTCCCAAACAACTCTAAATATTCAGTAAATTACAGATGGCTTTTTTAAAAAAAAACTTAAACCAATCGAATTGTTCAAACATAGCTATGTATATTATTTGTACTGTGTACTAAAGGAATAAAAAAGGTTTTGATTAAATTCATTAAGAAAAATCGAGTTCAAATTTCTGCATGGGAAGAAGGACAGTATAATTATAGACTATTTCTTCTTGGTATGGCTTCAAACATGGGGAAAAAATCATACAAAATACAAGGTCCTTTTAAGATACACCCTTCATTAGATATGAAATGTAGAGGTTGGTATAGTAAATATCAATTGTAGGCAGTCTAAAGAATACTAGAAAATATTTAAAAGTAGAAACGTATTATAAACTTCATAAAGGCCTGACCATAAATTGTGAGATAAGCAAGCATAACAAGAGAGAAAGCCTCACCACACAGAGTCGCCCGACCCTGGTGTAAATTGCATGGGCATTGTTTTCTGCCTCCAGTGCCTTCTCAGTAAAAAAGAAATAGATTTTGTTGTCATCTCTGTCTTCATTGTCAGGAATCATGTATGAACCTACAAATTTTGGTTCTATAGGAGCAAAAAATAGGAGAAAAAGTGAAAAAGATATTATAACAAAATGCTAACAAGTTATTGCAATAAATTACATATCATCTGAATCCTTAAGTTTAACTTTCACCATTTCATAAAGAAATAGTTTTCTTGAATTTTTTTACCAAACATGGAAAACGCTGTAGATATCTCACTTTATTTGCATATTAACAGCCCTTTTAGAAATATTACAAGAATATTTAATTGGAAAATAAAAGAATCAAGGAGAGAAGAAGAATTTCAAACAACAGGCAATGCGAAATTAAAATGCATACAGGAAAGAACAGATTAGGAGCTCGATGAAGATAATCTCTATAAATTTCCTTCCATTGTAGGTAAACACTAAATGTAAGTATAAGTAACATATTAAAGTAAATAAATACATCATCATTGATTTTTAATTCATAAATTATCTACCAGTATAGCACATAGATCATTTTAGATTCAAAGTAGAAAATTTATTTTACATTTTTGAGATTGTAGTCCAAGAGATTTGAATACAGGTTCTTTGACATGGTACGTAAAATATATGAATGGTAGCATCAATAACGACTGTGCATTTTACAGCTTAATAAAAATGTGGAAAGTAATTAAAATGCTCACCATAAAACAATATTCTAGCACCTCCATATACCAGTGTGCCAAAATATAAAACGTACTTCTTACAAAGATTTCTGTATCAATGAATGTCTAGTGACTTTCCTAGAGTTTTGTCTCTAAAGTGTAATGCAATCCTATTAAAACAAGCAAAGCAGGGCAATCAATTAATCAAAAATTCTATCAGTTGATAAAAGTAGACAAAACAGCTTACTGGATGATGGACTTTTCATTTTTCATACATTTGCTTTGTTTTCCTTATTTAAATACTGATTTCTAAGCATTGCTCAAAAGGTATACTGATTTTATAATTAAGTCAATCAATTTTGATAGAAAATGATATACATATATCACATACAATATTTTAATTCAAGAACGTTGTTAGTAAAACATCCTGAAATTTGTAAAGGAATTGTATTTATATTCTTATTATTATCAAAATGGCAATATTTTCCATAAGTTTTAGAGTTGGTTTCAATCCTAATTCACATGATCTTCTCCTCATCCTTACCTTTCAACAGACGCTCATCGTCATGCTCAGTGCGGATATGGGCCAGTCGCCCCATGCTGCGGAAGATTGCAGCGTCTCTGCTCCAGTAGTCACTGTAGAGTCCAGCAAACAATTCACTACCTACATGGGAGCATCAGTAAAAAAGAAGTCAGTGTTTGTTTCTGAATTTGAAGACGAGGTATAAGTCACAATTATATTAAATACATCCATATTTAATATGTGTATCTATAACATGTACTTTACGACATTAATACTATTGGTGTTAGGAGCATGGATGGTACAGTAAGAGTCCCAGGGTTTGAGTCCAGAGTCTGTCACTTGCTAGGTGTGAATTTCGGCAAGTTGCTAAGTTTCCTGTGCCTCAGTTTCCTCATTTACAAATTAGAAAAGTAATTGCATTCAGTAAGGTAGTTAAGAGTTAAGCACTTGTAAGAATAGGTAAATCGTAAGACCTATATGAGTTTTTGGTAAATAACTTTGCTTCATTTATTTTCCTAGACTCAGTTGTCCTGTCTGGGGCAAAAATTTCTGGCCAAGAAACAAATGATAACAGTAGATTTCTGGAAACAGCAACCTTAAAGCAGAGTGGTAAAACTGTTTTCTTAATGAGTGGCATATAATATTGGTCTAGTTCTAAAATATATATGATTATTATATTACATAGTACTAATGCTTTTTTTAAGTTTGCAATGTGTATCTATGCATACATATGATATTTAAAGTTCTTTAAAGGTTAAGAGATTTCAAAATTAATTGTATTTCCAACTTAATATATCTAAATATGTAATTAATTTTATAATTAGGATTATTAAAATTACAGGTATAAGAATTTGACCTAATACATAAACAGCATTTAAAAGATCTTGAATACTTTATTTATAAATTTTATTTATTAGAACTTTAAAAATTGTTTCATTATTTACGAAGGATTTTTTTTTCCCAAGGTAAGGTCTTTAAAGCTTTGGAGGCCAGGCGTGGTGGCTCATGCTTGTAATCCCAGAACTTTGGGAGGCTGAGGTGGGCGGACCACGAGGTCAAGAGATTGAGATCATCCTAGCTAACCCGGTGAAACCCCATCTCTACTAATAATACAAAAAATTAGCCAGGCGTGGTGGCTGGCACCTGTAGTCCTAGCTACTGAGGAGGCTGAGACAGGAGAATGGCGTGAATTCGTGAGGCGGAGCTTGCAGTGAGCCGAGATTCCACCACTGCACTCCAGCCTGGGTGACAGAGCGAGACTCTGTCTCAAAAAACAAAAAACAAAACAAAGCAAAACAAAACAAACAAACAAACAAACAAAAACCCTTTGGAAAACTTCAGAAGTGTAAGCATATTTGTATGGTTTAACATTTGGGAAAATGATCAATTAAATTATATATACAATAAATTAAAAGGAAATTTATTTTCAACTTACATTAACTGACTATTTTTTTAAAGTAAAGATGATTGCTTTTTTTATACCAAATTTAGAATAATAAGATATAAATCAAACTCAAAGATTAAAAAAATAAGCTTTAGAATTACTACTATAATAATCTTTTTCACTTTAAAAAGATAAATAATTCTAATTAGTTTTTCTCTGTTCACAAAATCCTCTATGGATTCTTAAAACACTGTATGAGATACAAACAAATAAAATCTATGGTTTCCAATAAATAATTTGTTTTTAAATTATATGTTCTATATGAGAGAGAGAGGAAAAAGTAAATGTGTCAGAGTGTTAACAATTGGTGACTCGAGGCAAATGGTATACAGGTGTTACTTTTACTTCAATTTTTTTTGTATTTGAAAATTTTCAAGATAACAGTTTTTAAAAAGATATTTATTGAGTTCTTCTAGTATATGCAGCTTATGCTAAGTGAGAGGTATGATGCAAGGAAAATAACAAAAACGAAATGATGATTTAAATCTGGACTTAACAACATATAATTTGGTAGAGAAAAGTTAGGTCAGAACTCTTACTTAAGCATATCATGTTATTTGGTAATAGAAAGGGAAAAGATTAACATAATTTTTATCAAAGTCGATTAATTAGTGCTGTCTTCCCCAGAAATTTTATGTCTGTTTGAAGAAGTATTTTGAGATCAAATGCGTTCAGTGGTTAGGAATATGACCTGTTACCTGGAATTCAGTCTGCATTATTTAAACATCGATAAAAGAGTCATTAAAAGGACTTTGGAATCATCTATGGCATAAACAACCAAGCTGACCCTTTAAAAAATTGACTATTAACACATGAGTGAGGATTTCTCTGAAATATTTTTGTTTTTAATTATTATAGTTGAATTATGTTTCCCACACCAAATATAAAGGCCATCTTGTGAAATGGTTGTAAATATAATCTATTTTGCTAATGTGGGCTGGGCTGAATCTTTAATGTATAGTGGGAATAAAGATTAGCTTTCTTTAAAATCATGAGTTTTCTATTCTTTAAATTTTTAATATTTGATTTTATATTTTAAAGTATTTTAGACTTTGGTAACTGAAAATATTGTTAGGGGAAAATAATATTTATATTAGTACACATTGACTTTAATGGATTTATCCTAATTTGGAACATTGTTTCAAAATTATCGTTTTAATCAATACTATAAAATTAACGAACAAGTACTCCTTAGAGCCACTAGATGGCAGCCCTATGATACTAGATAATACTATATCCAGGGACGATTATCTGCACAAGAGAAAAAAATAATATATTCCCAATGTTACCCAGCTTCCCATTTTGCACGCAGGACAGAGAAAATTGTGAGCAATTCCCATAACACAATATGAACTGCATGACTTAAATTTCAAAGACACTATATAGGTGCTAAAAACTGTATGTTTGGCAAAATACTTTCCTAAGAAAATTAGAAAAGACAACATATTAGTGAAAAATAATGATATTAATAAAGCCTTAGGTAAAATAATACCTAATAGTAATTAAATAAGCAAAAATACTGAGCATTATTATAATTTTTAATACAATTTGTAGTAAATACATAGTCTCTAATTAAATTTATTTTAATTATTTGGTGTCAGAAAATTTGTGAATCAGTACATTGATCTTTTATAGAATGCAAAAATAACATCTGGATACATCATATTTTCATGGATTAAAATAGAAAAACATTTTATAAAAATACTAAAATATGTTTTAGGGCTTCAATTATAACAGAAGAACTACTTAAGGATTTACTTTTCTATGTCTATGGAGACAGGTGAGTTTAACTTCTTGTCACACTCAACAATAGTCTCTATATAGAGAAGAAAGAATAGTAGAATTAGGTCTGCAGTAGAAATCTGGCAAGCTAGGTCCCCAGCTCGAAATCTGCTATTTGATCACCACAAACTGTTCAAAATCTTAAGGTCTCAGTTATCTGTAGAATCAAAGAGACCTCCATGTAATTCTCAGAACCTGCCAAGCTTTTATATTCTCTCTGCTCTTTGGCCTAGAATTCCACTCCTCTCTTCCCACCTCACCTTCCTTTTGCCTCGTTATTGTCCACTTTTTCCATGATGCCTTGTCTGGCCAAACTTTTGTTAGTGTAGTGGTTCCTAGTGCCACTGTAGCTCCGGTACCTATTTCTATCCTACTGCTCATCCAACTATATTCTTATTGACTCCTTATGTGTTTGAAATGATGCCTCATTAATGTCTGAAATACAAAAAATGCTCAATAAATACTGTTGAATCAACGAATGGCTTAATGAGTTAATAATTAAATATATCAGAAGTTCCTTTCAGGATTTAAAAAAGGTTATGAAAGGCTGTGAAATGTCAACAATCAGGGCCAGGTGCGGTGGCTCTCGCCTGTAATCCCAACATTTTGTGCAGCCAAGGCTGGAGGATTGCTTGAGTTCAGATGTTCAAGATCAGCCTGGGCAACATAAAGATACCCCCGTCTCTACCAAAATAATAATAATAATAATAATAATAATAATAATAATAATAATAATAAAAAATAATAAAGTAGCTGGGCATGGGGGCCCGCACCTGTGGTCCCAGCTACTCAGGAGGCTGAGGTGGGAGAATCGCTTGAGCCCGGCAGGTAGAGGCTGCAGTGAACTATGGTTATGCTACTGCACTCCAGCCTCGGCGGCAGAGCCAGATCCTGCCTAAAAAAAGAGAAAAATAAACCACTCAGGATAAGATCCTAACTTTAAAAAACTGTTTCAGAGAGAAAATATCAAATGAAAGAAAAGGCTATTGAGAATTTACATGGATAATAAATTTGAATTTTTGTTCCTTAAGGGCCTTATGTTATCTATTAATTTTAATAGATTAAAACAGGAACTCTATTTTTTTTCAAAAATTTGTCCCCAAGAATTTCAGCCCAAGGGACATTATATTGTGATTAAAAGACTGTGTCAACACTAAGTTGCTTATGTGAAAGAAAATAAGACAGTCATTTGATTCTTTGAAATAGATAAAAACAAATTCTTTACAATGATTTTAAAATGTGTAATTAAAATACTTTTCTCTGTAACTCCTTTTTTTACAATGTAAACTCTAGTTGAAGTTGTAATTAAATGCATTGCATTGCCTTAATATTTTATGGAATGTATCAAGAGTTTTGTTCATAGACTATATATTATCTGAGTTTTTATTTACCATGTTGGATTTTAATTGTATAACAAGAAAAATTCACAGTAGTGTTTCATGACCTTCTTATCTTGTTAAGTTTTACTCAAGCATTTGTTCTGTTTATGTTATAAATGTATGTTCTGCAAATCTAAATAATATGAAACACATTTGCCTCGTGGAACAGCATATAGCTAAAGACTGATTTAGCTGCCTCACTTTATAACTGAATTTTATAATTTTGTTAGAAAATTATTCTATTGTGGATGGATTGTTTTGCAGAATCACTATGACCTGCATAGCTACAAAGAGAAACAAAATGCATTTGGGAGGATGAGGACGGATGAACATGATCCACATATTTCAACATCCCAGTTCGCACTCATATTCTGCTTAGGATGCTGAAAGAAACCAGGATGAATGTGTAATTCTAAATGTGTGATTTTATTAGGCATTTAGCTGTTGTTTGGGCTTTCGGTTTATTTTGGTTTGGGCAGATGATTAGCACTAGCTCTCAATGTTAAGAAGGTGGTTTTGAGGCATGAAGGAACAACAAAAACATCTTATGAATCTGTTTATTTGTGTGTGCCAGCACCCATGGCTATACTCTTGAGTTTTCTTTTTGGTAAACCGATGATATTGATACCATGATAGTTAAAGCAGATTCTCAAAGGAGAGAATATAAGTGGGGAATTGAAGAGTGGGGCTTTTTTCTTCTTTCTTTACCTCTTTTCGTTGTGAAGGAACCATAAGTAAAGTATTCAAATAGCTCCGTAGAGAATAGCAGTCATGGTCAGAAGCTACAATAAGCATGTGGATAATGGGCATTCTGCCAAGTGTGAGAGAGAGCGCAGCAGCCTTGGATAAGAAATTATAGATATTCTTTAGGGACAGGGAGGTGGTAAGGGAATAACCTGAAGTCTATGTTTCTATAAAGTTGAGGTGAATTCAAAACATGAAGGAGAACATTTACTTATTATGTTTGTACAACTTATCATAAAGAGAAAGATTCTAACTTCATTTATAATTTTTTCATTTATTTTTCTAACAAATGACCTTACTTTTTGCCAGTTTATTCCCTGAATGTAAATATAGTTAATTGAAAATAAACAATTATTTATTTAAAATGTTTTAATGTTATTAACAACTTGAAACAATAACTTAAATGGTCTCTGCATGCATTCCAACTCCCACTCATTCAATTGACATTGACTTTTAATTTACAGAATTCATAATGAGGATCTCTATTCACAAAGGTATTATTATGATGGATAAAAGTTCAGTCAGGAAGAGGATTTCAGCAGCTGTAAACGTTGTAGTTTCATTTGCTGAAAAAAGTAATGGGAAAAAAGTGTAGAAAAAAATTCATGGACTATAAAATGTCTTACTAGCAATTACTTGTTAAAATAAAATTTAGTGTGCATTTACTTTGAAAAGCATCCCTAAAAATACCCCAACAACAAAGTTAATACTTTCAAAGCAAAGTGTTAAAAGGCATATGGCAAATCAGGATTTTTTTTTTCCTCAAACACTAGCAACATGTGTCTTATCATACCTGAGGCATTTCAGGAATGGTAGGATTGAATTGTACTTGGAACTGCTAATACAACTATGGGTCAGAATAAAATTTAAAAATAAAATGGCAATAAATTAAAAGGAGAAACTATGGGGGACTGTAACGTTACTGAAGATATTATCAACTTAATTAGAATATTGCAATATTATATAAACTATAACTAATAAAAAGAGTCAGCAAGGCCGGGCGCGGTGGCTCAAGCCTGTAATCCCAGCACTTTGGGAGGCCGAGACGGGCGGATCACGAGGTCAGGAGATCGAGACCATCCTGGCAAACACGGTGAAACCCCGTCTCTACTAAAAAGTACAAAAAACCAGCCGGGCGTGGTGGCCGGCGCCTGTAGTCTCAGCTACTCGGGAGGCTGAGGCAGGAGAATGGCGTGAACCCAGGAGGCGGAGCTTGCAGTGAGCTGAGATCGCGCCACTGCACTCCAGCCTGGGTGACAGAGCGAGACTCCGTCTCAAAAAAAAAAAAAAAGAGCAAAAAATATTTGCTTCTTGGCCAAAATGACATATGACATACAGAACACTATTTCCTGGATTTTTATTTGGCCAATTACCAAACTTAATAAGTTAGTAGCAAGATAATTACTAAGTATATTTAGATGATTTGAAAGGCATGGATAAGCAATGCAGCAATTCATTATACTGAAAAATTTATTGTTTCAACAAGCTGCTTTTAAAATCAAGTTGTAATGCCTTGTCTTCTTCAGACAGTTACTTAAAACCACTTCAAATACAGTAGGAGTAATCACACCGGAGGAAAACTTGGCTAAATATGCAAAAATATGGCACCTGAGATATGAGCTGATATGCTACCAAGATAAATTGTGTTAGTACAAAGAGACATTGGACGAGCAAGCCTATTTAATATATGATTTCATTTTGATTAGTTTCTGAACATATACGACATAGTTCAGTAAGAAGCTTGTTTCTACTCCTTAAATCCTTTGTCACATAGAATTATTGCAAGCTATCAAACTTTCATTTCTAAGTTAGATTATAAATGGAATAAAAATGTGCTTTATAGCTCATCTTTCATCTATCAAATAAGCTTTAATATTTATTCAATTTTTTATTAACCTCTTCTTCATATGATCTTAAGTCAGCTAAATTTAAGTTAACTGAATTAAAATTGTATCTAAAATTAGGAAATTACATAGAACTTTCTCTAATGTGCAAGCACCATTTTTTTTAGGTCAAGTAGCTTTATGAATATACTACCAGTTTCAGTGTTTTATCATTAAATTTGTCTTCATGTGAACAAATATTGAACATTGTGTGACATATAATTAACCATGAAACCAAGAAGTAGCAATAATCTAACGATAGTCATCTTTTTGTTGGAGGCTTGTCTTAACCCATCAGCAGAGAACATGTGTGGTCACAAAATACCACATTAATACATTCTTTCACAGTCAGAGTAAGCTGTACCTAGCTTGCCAAATTCCAACTCAGGTAGCTCCATTTTTCCAGCCCACATTCCTGCTGCTTTTGCAATTGGGTGAATTATTTTCACTTCCTCTCTTTTAAAGAGTTTCTGGCTCACATAGGTTATCAGGTTTCCATCCAGTGGCTGCTGCATTTCCACAGTGAGTGAATGATCTCTCCAAGGTACTTTGGGATGAAAGTGAGTGGATAAATGTGAAGAATTATATTTTTATTTCTTCTCTTTGGAGGGATTATTCTATAACTTTTATGTTTAGCTTGGAGGGCTCTTTTGATTTGATTTCTCTTCTGAATAAGCGAAACAGCCACCCAGATGGCAAGCACTTCAGATTTCAGCATAGTGTAATTTGATTTGGAAGTTCAATGAAACTCACTTGGAAATGTCCCTCCAGTAATATTTCCCCTCTTAGAAATTTCACTTTTAAATTCTTGGTTTCATGCAGAAACAAACTCCTAGGGAGACTGAGTAGTGAGTGGCAAGGTGGTCATAGAAATTATTATTAACTCTTCAAATGAAATGTTAAAAAATAATTTGTCTTCTAATAGTCTCAGGATTTCACTATAGAAGCAGTATATGATGTGTAATTTTTAATTTCCTATTCCCTTTTTATGATTCTTAGGAACAATATTCCAAAATTAATTTTTCATTTGTTTAGGAACCTCAGTGAGAATTACATTTAGTATTTATAGGAGACTTAGTCTTTGCAAGATACTATATGGCACAAGAAAGATAAGAAAGTCTCTTTTTTTCCAAACATAGTACAATCTTTATGAAGAAAATTCACTAACAACTTTAGAAAAAGATGGTATGAGCCTATCAGATATATAAATTTTAACATATATTTTGTCAATTGCATTGGAATTTCTTGCATTTATGCACCTGGCATCCCCCAAAAGTGTTATTTCTAAGGTTTTGACTTTTACTAAGTCTAACCTGACTTAGGCAACCCTTTTCCCATATTTAAAGTCTTCCTTTTTTTAATACTCTGTTCACACACACACACACACACACACACACACACACACCCCGAAAGAGAGAGAGAGAGAGAGAGAGAGAGAGAGAGAGAGAGAGAGAGAGAGAGAGAATTGGCAGAGAAACTCAAAATATTTCAAGTAATATTTTTCTTTAATATTTATTTTTCTCAAATATTGTACCTCTTTATTCAAGCCCCTGAAGAACTTAATTACTATATCATTCTCATTTTATAGCCTTGTCAAATTTTGAAGCTGAAGTAAGTCAAACTTTTCCCGTTAATTAGAGTTAACATGAGGTGTTTGCTATATAATACATAGGTTTTAAAAAGCTTTACTTTTCTACACCTGAGAACCAGATGTGGGATAGGGGAGTGTAGGGAGTAGAATGCAAGACCCATCAAAATAAACTGTCTCGAATATGTTCAGGGAACTTAGATTCTCAAGAATACACAGTAGCATCTATATCAACTCTAAATCAAGTATAATATGGTTTAATCATCAGGAGAGAGTTTTAAGTTTTAATGGTTTATTTAGAATGTGAAGTCTCTACATCTTATTTTGTCCTTTCTCATTTTCTGCAAAGAAGATGACCTAATATTAGCATATAACTGTAAACATTATAAATGTGATAATAGAACCTTGCACATCTGCACCGTATGCACATCAGAACCTCTCAACACTGAGGGAAGAAAATCATTACCGTTAGCACCTATGTTAGTGTTGGGGACTGCTCTTTTTAATTGCATGCTTAGGAGCTCATTCATCAGTTTTTATTGTCACAGTGCTGAAACAGTTTGCCAAGTTTGCAATTCCTAACCCCAAATAGTAGGAAAATATTACTCAGTTGTGTCTTAAGTGAGATTGTTTGGCACTTTGTCTAAATTGAATTGAATTGAACTCCAGATCCAACATTATCAACTCATGCCATTATTTCAACATGTACATTTAGTGATAGTTTGAGCAAGTCAACTTCTATAGTTTGCATTCTAGATTAACAGACATTTAGATAAATACATTTAAGTTCTCAGAAGAGATGACTTTCTGCTGAATTCTACTAATAACAGAGAAAGATACCATAAAGAATATTAAAAGTTCTCTAAAGTCACAAAGTAATTGAAACATGAAGAGTTAACATATATATTAAAATAGTTTCGTTTTCTCTGGCAAAATTTTTATAAAGTCTTCATATAATTGCATTTTATAAGCATCAAATGATAGCAAATATGTGGGATATTAAATGACAATTTGTTTTCTCAGAGTGAGATACACATACTTTATAGCATCTGCACTTATTTTAGAGTCAAATTGCTCAGGTTAACATGGCTTGAAATTTAATATCATTGCTTCGAGCACCAGAAAATAGATATGACAAGGCATAGTATATAAAGAAATGCTGAAAGAATGTAACTGAAGTTGAAAAATACGTTTTAGAATCATTATGACTACCACCTGATGTCTGTGGCCATGATAATTACCAATTAAAGTGGAGATGAAGGAGGAGCTGGGGTCAAAAGGACATCTGCCCCTTCCTCTCTCAGATCTGGGTGATTCCAGGTGAAACAGAGGATCCTTGAAAGAAAACCAGAAAAATCATTATGAACATGTCTCCTCTAATAATCACTTAATTGCTTAGGTAAAACATATTAAACTTTGATTATTTATAAAGCATGTATTCTAAATAGGGCACCAGTAGCATCAATTTATTTAGAGACAAACTGGGTTTTATAAATAAGCACATGGGTTTTACAGACCCATATGAGTTCTCTCACGCCTCTGAAAAGTATGCAGGTGATGAAAGAAAATAGCACTTTTTAAATCGTTTTATGAGACTGTATTATTTATTCTGAGATGTGTCAATTAAATATTTGAAAGGAATTGAAACTTGCTGGAAAAAGGTTAATGAAAAGGAGGTTCAGTGTTAAAAATGATAGTGGGCTTTTATTAAGCATATCAAGAATGCTGTTGTTGATTTTTTTAATAACTTAGACTTTTATTTTTGATATAAGGGGTACATGTGCAGGTTTGTTATATGGCCTTATTGTGTGATGCTGAAGTTTGGGGTATAAATTATCCCATTAGCCAGGTAGTGAGCATAGTATCGAATAGGTAGTTTGTCAGCCCTGTGTCTCGTCCTCTTATAGGAGTCTCCAGTCTCTATTATTGCCATCTTTATGTCTGTGTGTACCCAATATTTAGCTCTCACTTACAAGTGAGAACATGCAGCATTTGGTTTGCTGTTCCTGCCCTAATTCACTTAGGATAATGACTTCTACCTACATCGGTTTTGCTGAAATGGACATGATTTCATTATTTTTTATGGCTTTGTAGTATTCCATGGTGTGTAAATACCATATTTTCTTTATCCAATTTAGCATTAATGGGCACTTAGGTTGAATTTATGTCTTCACTGTTGTGAATAATTCTGCAATGAACATAAGAGTTAGTTAGTAGAGGAGCTCAAAATATTTCAAACACACATTGTCTTTTTGATAGAGTGATTCATTTTCCTTTGGATATTTACCCAGTAATTGGGATTGCAGGTCAAATGGTAATTCTGTTTTATTTGGGAAATCTCTAAACTTCTTTCCACAGTGGCTGAACTAATTTATACTGCTTCTAAGAGTGTATAAGCTTTCTCTTTTCTCCACAGCCTCTCTGGCATCTGTTATTTTTGACTTTTTACTAATAGCCACCCTGACTGGTGTGAGATGATATCTCACTGTGGTTTTGATTTTCATTTCCATGATGATTAGTGATATGGAGCATTTTTTCTATGTTTGTTGGCCTCCTGTATGTCTTCTTTTGAGAGGTACCTGTTTATATCCTTCATCCACTCTTAAATGGGGTTATCGTGATTAAAGCCCTCAACAAACTAGGCATTGAAGGAACACTTGTCAAAATAATGAGTCATATATGACAAACTCACAAACATCATACTGAATGGACAAAAGCTGGAAGCATTCCCCTTAAGAACAAGAAAAAGACAAGGATGCTTACTCTCACTACTCCTATTTGGCATAGCACTGGAAGTCTTAGCAATAGCAATCAAGCATCAAAACAGAAAAAGAAGAAGTCAAACGATCTCTCTTCACTGACTGATTCTATACCTAGAAAATCCTAAGGATTCTGCTGAAAGGCTCCTAGAACAGATAGATGATTTCAGTAAAGTTTCAAGACACAAAATCGATGTCTAAAAATCAGCAGAATTTCTCTACACATATAGCATTCAAGCAGAGAGTCAAATTAAGAAAACAATCTAATTTAAAATACCCACACACAATAAAACCAGAATATCTAGAAATACATCTAACCAAGGAGGTGAAAAATCTCTACAAGGTGAAAGATCTCTATAAGGAGACACTGCTGCAGAAAATCATAGATGATACAAACAAATGGAAAAACATTCCATTCAGATGGATTGGAAGTATCAATATGGTTAATATGGCCATATTGCCCAAAGCAATCTACAGATTCATTGCTATCCCTATCAAACTATCAACATCATTTTTCACAGAATTAGAAGAAAACTATTCTAAAATTCATATGAAACCAAAAAAAGAGCCTGAATAGCCAAAGTAATGCTAAGCAAACAACAACAACAACAAAGAAAAGCTGGAGGCATCACATTACGTAACTTCAAACTATAGTACAAGACTACAGTAACTATAACAGCATGGTATTGGTACAAAAGCAGACACATAGAGCAATGAAATGAAATAGAAAACCAAGAAATAAAGCTGCATATCTACAGCCATCTGATCTCTGATAAAGTTGACAAAAATAAGCAATGAGGAAAGGACTCCCTATTCAATAAACGGCACTGGGATTGCTGGCTAGCCATATGCAGAAGAATGAAATTGGGCCCCTACCTTTCACCATATACAAAAATTCACTCAATATGGATTAAAGATTTAAATGTGAGATCTCTAACTATAAGAATCCTAGATGAAAACCTAGGAAATACTCTTCTTGATATTAGCCTTGGCAAAGAGTTTTTGACTTAGTCCTCAAAAGCAATTGCAACAAAAGCAAAAACTGACAAGTGGCACCTAGTTAAAGAGTTTCTGCACAGCGGGAACTATCAACAGAGTGAACAGATAACCTACAGAATGCGAGAAAATATTTGCCAGCTATCATCCAACAAAAGTTTAATATCCAATGTGTATAAGGAACTTAAAAAGTGTTATTGATTTTTTTAGCAGTTTGGAAAAGAAAAACAAAACTTACTCTCAATAAGTTGGAATATTTATTTTCATTTTTATTCTTCATCACATAGTATTTGTATAAACATTCAATGTTTAATAATTAATAGAGTAATTAATGCATAAGTACTGTAAATATTTATCAACAAAGGCCATATGTACACTATTTCAATTTTAATATAAGGCTTCACACAGATAAGACAATGAAAATTAATATTTTCATGAAAAACTACTCTATTGGCTCCTATTTCAAGCATATAACCATAGAACTTGTCCCTTAATGTTTCCAGGTTTCAAAATTCTTATAAAAGGTTGTTTTGTATAATTAATCTCCATTAAGTGTATTATAAGTGGCTTGAGTAAAAAAAGTAGTTTAGAAAAGTGACAATAAAAGTCACTTTTGACAATATTTCAATTTTGACAATATTGAAAAACCTGTAGAAAAAAGTAATTTAAAATAGAACATCATGATATTGCTCAATTTGACAACTATGTACAGCCCTGTTCATCTGTGAACCACGAACCTATAAACAATCTTAAAAGTCCTGTGTAACCTCTGAGAGTTGAGGGCACTTCTCTCAAACTTGATCTTAACTTTGCTAGTCACCTGATTTACCCACATTATCTGTTCTGTCTTTGTCTTGCTATTCTTATTTAGCACCCTTTTCTCTTTCTCTGTGATATCCTAAAATTACCTCCTGATCCTGCCATTTCGAAACCTTTTCAGTAAATGTTGAGTTCACCCAACCACTATTACCATCCAGTCTTATCCTTGGATTTAAAACATAGCCTAGTGCCGGGCACGGTGGCTCACGCCTGTAATCCCAGCACTTTGGGAGGCCGAGGCAGGCAGATCATCTGAGGTCGGGAGTTCGAGACCAGCTTGACCAAAATGGAGAAACCCTGTCTCTACTAAAAATACAAAATTAGCCAGACGTGGTGGTGCATGCCTGTAATTCCAGCTACTTGGGAGGCTGAGACAGGAGAATTGCTTGAACCTGGGAGGTGGAAGTTGCGGTGAGCCAAGATCGCGCCATTGCACTCCAGCCTGGGCAACAAGAGTGAAACTCCATCTCAAAAATAAATAAATTTTTAAAAAAATAATAAAACATAGCCTATAGAACAAATGTGGCCTCCTGACCCAGAGGTGTGGCTAAACTTATATTCTAAGCCAAAACAGTTTTACCTACATAGCTACTCTACACCAATTTGAAGAAAGCAGGAATGACAGTAGAGAGATGTTTTGTGTTGACTTCCTGCAGATGACAGTTTGCAATGACATGAGAATACGTTTGTCCAAATGAGAAAAAATTATAGATCTGCCCAGTTAACACTTTTGCTGAAGAAGTTTCACCAAAATTTGCAAAAGAGACCCACATCATTTCATGGAGGAGGAAATGACCAAGTATATGAATATAATACTTGTTTGCCCCTTCAGTCATTGCCACTTTATAAAATATAGACAATAGATCAGGAATATACATATTATATTTGTTCTACTATAGTCAAACATCAGCGTCATGGAAAGCTGACAGTGATACTGGGTTGCTTTCAAAAATCAACATTTTTCTATAGCTTATTTCCGCTTTGGATGTTTAATGACTGATGAGGTTATTTTATCTAATGGATATAATTAGACACATTATATACTAAAATTGAAACTGCAAGAACAATACAAGTACATTGCATATTTATTCAAATAATTTTAATACATTCGTTTAAGCTGTCAAATGGGTGAAGCAAATAGAACATGAAAACTGAAAGAATTTTAAGATCAAGAGAATCCCAGAGTTTGCAGAACTGCAGGCATAGATGAATAAAATGCAGTCACAATTTCATAGAAAAGTTACAGGTTTTCATGACTAGAAATCATAATATAGGTTCTTGAGGCTATACTTGACTAGTGAATTTCAGCATGTGACTGTGGTTTTAAGTATCTTACATACCAGTGTGTTCAACTTTCAAAGGAAATTGACTGAGTCGACAAGAAACTATATGCACCAAGAAATCTGCCATGCTAACATTTTGAAAACAATAAAATGGCACACGGAATCATCCTGAAATTTTTAGTTATGCAAGAGACACAAATCTGTGCAATATGTAAATCTACCTTAGTCTGTGAAAAGATATATTCTTTCATAAAAATCTCAAGCTTGACAATGAGCATACTTGAGCCTTGAATATTGAATGCACATGCATTCTCAGAGATGTATGGCTCAGGTCAAAACTCAGATGTTCCTTGACTAAACCCTCCTTTCTTACTTTTCTCCAGAAGACTTCAAATACCTACTTCACATTTATTTGATTAATGGCTAAAACTAAGTCAACAAGTAATTATTTTAAAATAATAAACAGGTTAAATTAAAC